TAGTGTTTAATTGCAAAACATTAGTTTGCAAAAGTAGTTGAATTTGGCTATCAATTCACACCTATTAAGCCCAGAATCAATTGGCTTCACTCTGCCTCTTTTGGCCATTTACCAGACTGCTTCAAATCAGGAAAAAACAAAAGCACAAAGTTTAAAATTCTAGGAATTCATGCACCATGTGGTAATAATTAAATAATTACGAGAGGAGAGTAACGGCTATGTAACTTTATCATCGGCGGGTGACTAGTCTCCGAAGGACACTGCACCATCATTTCAAGCACATTCTAACCCAGCACAAATACTGCTAAGAAATTAAAGACCAATGGCCAGCTGATTGGGTTGATAATTTAGAAATTCTAAATTATATACAAAAAATCTTATGTAAATAATGTTATGAGTTAGACTGCCATTCCCACTTGAGCCTTCACACTTATGTGCCCTGATGTTCATGGTTAAGAGGTCACTGAATCCCCTTCCTCAATGATATATATTAAATGCAAATGACTAACCCTTACTTCCTAGGTCCCAGCCCCAACCTCTCCAACTATTACCAGCAAATCATCAGAAATCTACCTATGGATTTTTCTATCTATCTGCGTGCATGCCACTGCGCTAGTCCCCCACTCTCATCTCCAAAGAGGAAACTAAACTGAAGATCTGGCACCATCGTCCCCAATAAAACGGCTGAATCACAGCAAGGACCAGGGTAGGGTTACGATGGCAGGAAAGTCCTTAGAATTTCTCCAACGAGGCTCCAGCGTCTATATTTAACTTGTTCTGTGCCTAATCGTTTGGAGCTTAGCAGAGGATTTTCAAGTAGGCCGGGTCATCTGCGAGGATAAAATCCTCTACTCTGTCCTTAAAGCACACCCACATCTGTTCAAGCAGCAAAACCCATACCTTATTCTCCACAGGGTCATGATCCAGGGCAAAGACCATTCCCACCTGCTGGCCGAGCAGGGTTCTGTAATCTGTTCCATCAAAATGCATGTGTCGAATGTCTTGCGAATTGGCAAACAGCAAAAATGGTTGTGGTCCTGTCAACCAAATTTCAAATAAGACTGCATTTAAAACCTGCCTCGAACCCAAAGGCACTTCCAACGCTCCCCTTTCATTGCACGCCCTTCTGCAATTTCTGCAGTACTTGTTTTCTTAATTTCCCACCAGTGCGGCGCAGGTAAAGACAGGCAGGAAGACGTCCTCTTCCACGAGGTGACGTACTGCCAGAATTTCATCACTGGAATCTTCCTTCTCTAGGTGTCTGCTTTTAAAAGCAAATTACTTATAGAAAGAGCCAGTCTTAGATAACCAACACCATAGCTAAGTGACGCAAGTCTCAGGGCTGTACATCTCCCTGATTCACACATACTAAAGTATTAATATTAGCAAATTATACACATTATATACATTCATGTCTGAATAAAAAACCTTCCCTGGCCTGGGCACTTCTAGGGAGGCATTAGTATTATTTGATTTAATAACAAGACCCCTGATAATTTTCAGGACTAAGATTACGCTCTATTAACTAAGGCCCTGAGAAAGTGATAGCCTTGAGGTCTCTGCAGGGCAAGCCACATGTGATCGTCACCATGCTACCCCAGCATAACGCTAAGCAAAATGAACCTTCAAAAGAGATTAAATCAATTTGGTACAAATCCAGAATTTGCAAGGCTGTTGAAGGAACGAGAGCTGTGATATCAGAAGATGAAAAAACAGCCGAAGCATACAAGCTTCATATTAAATTTGGATATGAAAAGGACAGAATTTTTCAAAGTATTATGATTATTATATTCAATACAGAGATGAAGATCAAATCGATCAACAAATATTTATTAAACATCTCTTAACGATTAAGTGTTCTGAGACCATTTGGGTCACGACTTTCTCAAATACGGAAAATACCACATTTGACATTATGGCAAATCTTTGCTGGGTGCTAATGATTAATAACCTAGAAATATTTCTCAAAAACATGATTATCAATGTTGTTATTACTCATGTTATTCATGTTTGCAATGCGATTTGTTTTCCATTTCCCAAAACACAAAATCAGATTTTCTATCCAGAGGCCAAAAGCAATTCAAGTTTCCATCTTTCTGAATGAAATGTTGTTTTCATGCGATCTTTGTGCAGGGACACACTTGCAGACAACCACAGCACTAACCTGAAGCTTCACAGCTTTTTTTATCCAGCTGTAGGTCATACCCAGGAAGGCAGCCACATTCCCAGGACACTGGGCTGAGACGAATGCAGAGCTGGCCACAGCCGCCATTATCAGGTGAGGAACAGCCTTCAAAAAGCGATTGGTTGGTAATGATGCTACGTCATTCCAAATATAACAATTTCTCACCAAAGTATTGGAATAAGCCAACCACATGTTGATTGTCAACCACATGATGACACAATCATCTCCACTGCTACAATCAAGGTTATTTTTCAGAGATTAAAGGCAAAATGTCACAATACCCTCCTCCCTATAACCCAACATCTTGGATGTTAATCCTTCACATTCCAGTGGCCCTTCTCCTCTTGCTCTGCCAGTGAGTTCAAGAACAAGGGCACTGGTAGCTGGCTGGAATGAAAAATACATTTGATGAGTTTGGCAGCTGGTCTAACTCTTCTTAGCGAGTAATACATTTTTTTCCTCTCTCACATTTTTGATTTCTTTTGCTTTCTTTATTAAAAGATCAAAAAGCCACACATAGCTCTTCTGCTAATCTTGAGTTATATCCAGTTACATGCGTAAGTCTCTGCAGATAAAAGTAGAGAGGTATTCATCAGGTGCAAGGAACAAGCAAAGCACTCTGTCTCTGCCGCCTTATTTAATCCAGGAGGCAAGCATCGGTACCTCTGCAGATGCGGAAACAGAAACTAAGAGAGGGGAAGTAACTAGACCCAAGTCCAAGCTGTTAGAAACTGGTAATGCTACCTCAGGGCTGCATAACTTCAAAGCCCTTGCTCATAACCACTGCACTATGCTGTCTTAAAAACAAAACAAAACCAAAAAACTCAATGTAAAGCTATATGTCAATGTGTTGGATAAGTATCTTTCTTTTTTTTTCTTTTCCTCAAATACACTTTTCTGAAAGATAAATATCTTTCAATGCATAATATTGGAAAATCTATTTTCCTTTGGCAATAAGATCAATTTTTATGTGTCACTTAGAAAATGTATGTTTTCAAACAAACAAAAGGTAAACAAACTTACCACTACACGTTTTTCCATCTGTCTCAAGCACTGAGCCTTCAGGACAGAAACACATGGGACCATCTGATGTCAGAACACAATCGTGGCTGCATTCAGATACATTGCTCGGACAGGAAACGTATTCTTAATGAAGAACAACGTCAGAATTCGTGTTAAATCAAGTCTGGGAAAATTTATTACAATGAGTTGCTAATAAAAAATGCAATCCTAAAGAGACTAGGTTAAACAAAGATCAAACATTTATGAAATGCTGTGTCAAAGAAGATATAAAAATAAAGGAAAACATTCAGATCTAGAAAAATTAAAGACAGACTTCCAAATTTGGAAAATGACTCTAGTTTCCTCTGAGTTTCTTTTATATCAAATAAGAGTTTTAAAGTTATTAGTCACCAAAATTCCAAAATATTTTATATGAAACTTGACCCACGATTCTCAAGTTCATCTGGAAAACAAATTACATGTGAAAGAAAAACTAAGGACGTTTTGAGAGTGTGGTTAGGTAGGTACAGGAAGAGAAATGAGAGGCTCTGAACAAATATCAAAACGTATGCTAAAGGTACAACCATTAAAAGAGTGGGGAACAGGCTGGGCGCAGTGGCTCACGCCTGTAATCCTA